AGCTTGAAATCGGGCGTGTCCCTCTACAGGAGCAATGTTCGAACATAGTCAAAACATAGGCTGGGGACGACTTTTTTTGTTTGTTTGTTTATTTACCTAACAGCTTTTGCTGATAGGTTTCTAGTAGGGTCAAAAGAAAGCATCTGGACTCCACAGGGGGGTCTGGGCGGGTGCCGGGGAGGAGAACCGGGAATCGTTTTTCGCCAACAGTCACACACTTCGTGCTCTTCGACCTCCCAGAACTCCATTCCCGGGACACATTCTGGAGAACCGGGAACAGAGCCGGGCTCGCTTTTCGCCAACAGTCACACACTTCGTGCTCTTCGACCTCCCAGAACTCCATTCCTGGGCCACTTTCTGGATGCCCGGAGCCAACTGTAGGCCATTTCGTGCTCTTCGACCTCCCAGAACTCCATTCCCGGTCCACATTTTGGATGCCCGGAGCCAACTGTAGGCCATTTCGTGTTCTTCGACTTCCCAGAACACCATTCCTGGGCCACATTTTGAATGCCCGGAGCCAACTGTAAGCCACTTCGTGCTCTTCGACTTCCCAGAACTCCACTCCCGGGCCACTGTTGCTGCTGCTAGTGTAGCTATTGCTACTGCAACTACTGGCAGTGCCACTGCGACTGCCGCTGATGTTGCCACTGCGACTGCCACTGCGAATCCGAATGCCAGGCTGAGGCTGAGGCAGGCTGAGGCTGAGGCCGAGGCCGACGGCAGACTGAGGCTGAAGCTGAAGCAGGCTGAGGCAGAGGCAGGCTGAGGCTGAGGCTGAGGCTGAGGCTGATGCAGGCTGAGGCTGAGGCAGGCTGAGCCTGAGGCCGAGGCTGAAGGCAGACTGATGCTGAGGCTGAAGCAGGCTGAGGCTGAGGCTGAGGCAGGCTGAGGCTGAGGCAGGCTGAGGCTGAGGCTGAGGCAGGCTGAGGCTGAGGCTGTGACTGCGACTGCCGTTGCCACTGCGACTGTCATCGCGAATGCGACTACGACTGCGAGAACAGCAGAATTCTACAACTGGATTCCCATCCGAATCTTAAGGGGAATGCTTCCAGATATGCTCCTACACATCGCTGTTAGGTTGCTTTGCCGGGATTTTTTTTTTTGTTTTTTTGTTTTTTTTTGGGGGGGGGTACTTCTTATTTTTCTCCCGAAATCCGCCTGTAGGGGGACACGCCCGACCTAAGCATAACTGTGGTCACCAGTTGGACCAGCGGCGCTGCACTGTGCCCCTGGCGCATCGCCAAGCTGGGTGCACACTCGCCGAGCTGAGGGCCACGGCAGCTGCGCCGCGCTGCAGTGGGACCCTTGCTTCTGCTCGTCGCTGCCGTCGGCGTCGGTGCCAGGCCGGCTCGGCCCGGCCCGCGGCGCCGCCGCCCGCGCCGCCCGCGCGCCGCGGGGCGACGGAGGGAGGCGCCGAAGGCCCCCCCCCGCTGCGGCTGCCGCTACCGGCGCGGCCGCAGTGCCGCAACCCGCGGCAGGGGACGGGGAGGCGCCGATAGCCCCCCCTTGCCGCGAGTCTCGCGCCTCCCGGGCGGCCGGTCGCGATCGATCGCGCGAGGCGCGAGCGGGGGCAGGCCGACCGGCGGCCCCGCCCAGCAGAGGCCAACCGCGGGCAGGGAGTGCCCGCAAGGGGCTTTTCCTCCTCCTTCTCCTCCTCCTCCTCCTCCTCCTCCTCCTCCTTCTACTCCTCCTCCTTCTCCTCCTCCTCCTCCTCCTCCTCCTTCTCCTCTCCTCCTCCTCCCTCCGCCTCACCCTCCTCCTCCTCCTCCTCCTCCTCCTCCTCCTCCTCCTCCTCCTCCTCTCCTCCTCCTCCTCCTCTCTCCTCGCCTCCTCCTCCTCCTCCTCCTCCTCCTCCTCCTCCTTCTCCTCCTCCTCCTCCTCCTCCTCGTCTCCCCCCCCTCCGCTCCTCTTCCAGGAGGATATGCTTCTTCTTCCTTCCCCCTCCACCTCCGCTCTTGCACTCCCGAGGCGAGGGCATCAACGGCTTCATGGAGTCGGTCGGGGACTTCTTCAGCAAAGGCCAGGCCACGAGAGGTCCAGGCGGGATGGCCTGCCATAATTCTCCCGCTCCTCCCCAACAAGTGCGATTGTTAAGGATGAGGCTGACAAGGGGGGCGGAGAACGGTCAATCTGCGATGGCGATGGCGATGGCGATGATGACGGCGATGACGATGATGATGACGACGACGACGACGACGATGATGATGATGATGATGATGATGATGATGATGATGCTCATGCTGCTGCTGCTGATGATGATGATGATGATGATGATGATATGATGATGGTGATGATGATGCTGCTGATGATGATAATGATGATGCTGATTATGATTATGATTATGATTATGATTATGATTATGATGCTGCTGCTGATGATGATGATCATGATGATGAGGACGATGCTGTTGGTGATAATGATGATGATGCTGTTGTTGATGCTGAAAATGATGATAATGGTGATGCTGATGCTGGCGATGGTGATGGTGATGGTGATGATAATGGTGGTGATGATGATGATGATGATGATGACGTTTCTGACTCTGATGCTGCTGCTGGTATGATGACGATGATGTCGATGATGATGATGTGTATGATGGCGACGACAACGATGATGATGATGATGATGATGATGATGATGGTGATGATTAGGACGATTATGATGATGACGATGGTAGTGAGGATGATGAGGATGAGGATGAGGATGATGATGAGGATGGTGACAGTGATGATGATGATGACGATGATGATGCTGATGATGATGATGATGATGATGAGGACGCTGATTGTGATCCTGATGATGATGATGATGCTGCTGATGCCGATTACGATGACGGCCATGATGATGGCGATGTTGATGATGATGATGATGATGATGATGATGATGATGATGATGATGACGCTGATGATGCTGATGATGATGCTGATGCTGATCCTGATGGTAATGATGATGCGGATGATGCTGATGATGATCATGATGATGATGATGATGATGGCGATGATGATGCTACTGATGTCAATGATGTTCAGGATGATGTGATGCTGGTGATGGTGATGATGCTGTTGTTGACGATTATGATGATGCTGGTGTTTCTGATGATGCTGCTGCTGATGATGCTGATGATAAAGATGATGATAATGACGATGTTGATGATGCTCAGGATGATGGTGACAGTGATGATGATGATGATGATGATGAGGATGATGGTGGTGATGATGATGATGATGATGATGATGATGATGATGATGATGATGATGACGATGATGATGATGATGATGATGATGATGATGATGATGATGATGATGATGATGATGATTATCATGATGATGATGATGGTGATCATGATGATCATCATGGCGGGCAGGCCTCTCCGAGATGTCGGGCCTCCCTGGAGAGACTGGGGTCAAGAGGCGATGCTGCTGGCGATGATGATGGTCGTTTGGGGTAGAATGAGGCTAAGGAGGAGGATTCTGAGTACCAGGACGATTGGAGGCTGTGAGGGCCCCCAGGAGGGGAAACGATGCCGATTTTGTTTCGTGTCGTGCCTGACGTGCGCGCGGACCAGGCGTGTCTGCGCGAGGGTCACAGGGATCCTCCCCCAGCTGGGGGGTGGCCCACGTCAAAGAGAGTCGTCCCCCCCCCCCAACCCGGTCCCGCGGTTGTTCTGCGATTGTCCCGATGGTTGTCCTCATGGTTGGCCAGATGGTTGCCCCGATTTTTTGCAGGATGGCTGTACAGATGGTTGCCCCGATGTTGTTCACGATGGCTGTACACATGGTTGCCCCGATGTTGTTCACGATGGCTGTGCAGGTGGTTGTCTCGATGGTTGTCCCGATGGCTGTCCCCATGGCTGTCCCAATGGCTGTCCCAATGACTGTCTCGATGGCTGTCCCGATGGCTGTCCCGAAGTGGTTGTCCCGATGGCTGTCCCGATGGCTGTCCCGATGGTTGTCCCGATGGTTGTCCCGATGGTTGTCCCGATGTCCTGGTAGTTGCTCCGATCGTCGTTCCGATGGTCGTCCCGATGGATGTCCCGATGATTTTTCCGATGGTTCTCCCGCGGTGTTTCCGGTGTCCTGGTGGTCGTCCCGATAGTCGTCCCGATGTTTGTCCCGATGGTTGTTCCGTGTCTTTGTTTGTTCTGTTTTTTGTTCCCCCCGTTTATTTGCCTCGCAGGAGTTTGCTCAGTTTTCTGATGCATGTCGCCGCAACCCCAACGCTGCTCGAGCCAAAGTCCAGCATGGTTGCAGCTGGACCTGCCTCTGGCTTCGCGATCCGTTGCAGCCGCCGTCGGGGCAGCAGTGCGCCCCGCGAGCATGGCTCGGCAGCCGCGGCCGCCTCGGCAGCTCCGGGGGCTCCCCGTGGGCCGCCGGCACCCCCGTGAGCGGCGCCGCTGCCAGCCAGGCTCCTCCCTGGGCGGTGCAGGGCGTGCGCACCGCGCGCGCCCTGCACCTGCCTGGCCCTGGAGCCTGAGGCCTGCTCGCGCCTTGGGCGAGGGCGCGGGGACTGCCACCGCTCCACCGTTCAGGCTGCGCCCGGCCCGCCCTGCCCGCCGGGCCAGGGCCAGCCTCGGGGCCCCCGCCCTGCCGACCTCGGGGGCCAGCCCTCGGGGCCGAGCCTCGCTGCCCCCGCCACCGTGCCAGCCTGGTTCGGCAGCAAAGCCTGGGAGCCTGTTGTGTGTCCTCGTGAGGTCCCCGCTGCGGGGGCCGCGCCGGAGCCGCCCGCGCGCGTCCTCTTGGCGGCGGCTTGAGGCCGCTCGAGGCTGGCGTGCCTGCGTGGGCCCGGCGCTGCTGCCCCACCGGAGCGAGCGAGGCTCGGAGGAGGCAGCCGCTGGGCGAGGGCGCAGCTCCGGATCCGGGTGGTGATCCGCCTCGGTCGGCGGACGCGTTCGGAGCCCGTGGCCGAGCCGGCGCCTGGCGCGCGGGGGCCCGTGGCCTTCGAGGACGGCGCGGGCTTGACGGGCCTGTTTCCCACCACCACCATAAGTTGGAGGGGGAGGGGGTCCTCCTCCTCCTCCTCCTCCTCCTCCACCTCCTCCTCCTCCTCCTTCTCCTCCTCCTCCTCCTCCTCCTCGTCCTCCACCTCATTCCCCCTCTAACTTATGGTGGTGGTGGTGGTGGAAACAGGCCCATCAGGGCTGGTCCCACGAGCGGCTCTTCCTTTGGCCCGTTGGGGCTCCAGATTCGGATGGCCACGTTAGCTGCTCGCCGGTAGGCGATCTGTACGTGGAGCAGCTGACCTGCTGCACGTCGACGACCGACCGTCTCGACAGCTCGCAGAAGCTACCCCTTGCGCTTTGCAGGTGGTGGCCTTCAATCGGTCGCTGGAGTCGGCCGAGGCGCCGCCGCCGTGGCGAGGCCTTTAGGCCGCGACCCGCGCGAGCCCGGCGGCGAAGCCTCGAGGGCGAAGCCCCAAGAAGCCTCGGCGAGGAGGCCCAAATCCGTGATTGTACCAAGGTGTTGGTCACATGTTTGCCTCCTAGGGGGGGGAACCTAAGTGAGGAGCCCCCCTCCTTTCATCGATCTCTTCCAAGATGGCCCCAGGATGGCCCCCAAGGCTCTCAAGGCTACCTCATCAAGCGCCGCCGTGGCGAGGCGGCGGTCTGGCCTCCAGCGTCGGGGCCGCGGCCGACTGGCGCGGCGGGCGGCTGGCGGTGCCGACCTTCTCGGCAGTGTGTGCGCCGGAGCTGCGGCTGCGTGGCAAGCAGTCCCTGCCAGCCCTGGCACCTGCCAGCCTTGGGTCGCTCGGGCCATGAGCTTGGAGTGCAGGTGGCCGGCCCACTGGCCCAGCGAGCGCAAGGCGCCACAAGGCTACCGGCGGCCATCGGAGCCCAGGGCGAACGCTCAGCCACGCGCGGGAGGGGGGAGGGCTTCTGAGAAACCCCCCTGCTTCCTAGAAGGCGCGGCCGGCCCTGGCAGCAGCTGCCAGCCTTGGGCCGCCCGGCCCCGGCTCGTTGGCTGTCGTCGCGGGGGTCCCGGTGACGGCGCCGCGGGCCCAGCTGCCCTGGACGATGCCGTTGCGGACGGCGCCGCCCTCGTCGGCACCGGCACGCCCAAGGGCGAGCAGGAGGCGGGTTCCGCGTGGCTGAGCTGTGACCTGGCGCAGGTCGACGGGGATTTCGCGTTCGGCACGGAGGTGCGGTAGCGCATCAGTGTTTCCCCTCCTCCCGCGACCCGAGGCGCGGCGGCAGTCGGCGCCTGGGCCGCTTCGGCGTGGTGACGAACCGTCTGGGCTACCACCACCCAGTGGCGCTGGTCGAGCTGTCGTACCTGGACGCGTGGCAGGAGGCCAAGCTGCGCGGCGCCGATCGCCTCCGCGGGTGGCCTGGCCGCTTCGGTCTCGAGGGGCACCTCGTGGGAGATGCGTCTCATGGCCCCGCGCTGCAGCCCGCCGTCGCTCTCGCCATTGTTAGGGGTGTGAGCTCCCTTGGCTGCCGCCCCTTTCCCCGAGGGGGGCGACAACCTCCGCGCGTGTTGGACCGACTGCGGCGATACTGGAGTTCGGTGCAAGGATTGGCGCAAGGTGCTGCGTGAGGTGACCTAGGAGAACATCCAGTCAGCGGGCCTGAAGGGCACCCCGTTTGCCTCGCCGTGTGTAGGAAGTTCCACAAGCACGGGGGCGATCCCAAGGCTTGGTTCAAGGAGTGGACACGCGAGGTAGGCATCGGCAGGAAAGACAGGGTCTGGCATGATGGGGGAGTGCATCATCGAGTGTCTCAGGCAGGCGGGCAGCTTCGACCAGTTGAACGTCGGGGCCATCGCGGCCCTGCTGCAGTATGTGGAGGCCTACGCGAATGGAGCTGGCAACCACATTGGCGGGCGGCGCAGTTCTTCAGTGCCACTACCTCGGCCTCGGACCTCGGAGACGCGCGTGCGCGCCGCCCGCTGGGCGGAGGGCGAGGCGGAGCTCGAGGGCCCGCGCGCCAAGGCCGCGCTGTCGCGGCGCGGGCTCGGGGCCTGGCGCCGACGTGGCGGCCGCGGCCACCTCGGCTGGCGGCCTGCCGCCCCTGTGCGGTGGTGGAGGCGGCGGCAAAGGTCGAGGAGGAGGAGGAAGCAAGGGCGGCCGCGGCCGAGGGCCGCGGCCGGCACTGCGAGTCCAGATCGCGAGGGTGACGCTGTATCCTGCGCGCCACCTGCAGACCCGAGGGCAGCCGTGGGGCTTGCGCCGCCAACTTCCTCCCGGTGCCGACCAGCGACATGATCGACGTGGTCCTCCCCGCGGACATCGCGGGCGGCGGGGGGGGGACGTGAGAAACATGTGTCTGGGTCGCAGGAGCTTGCCGAGTTTTCTTAAGTGTGTTGCCGTAGCGCTAACGTTGCTCAAGCTTGCTCCCCGCACATCGCCCGCCTGAGCTGCTCTCTTACAGAGCCGGGGATCGTTAGTCTGCCGCAGTCTCTGCACACGCTTTGTTTGGCGCTGCCATCGCACCTTTTCCGCAGTAGAAGTCAACAGCATGGATGTTCCGATGGTTGCCCTTATTGTTGTGCCGATGATTGTTTCGATGATCGTCCTGATGGCTGATAGGACGTGTATTAAGAGTTTCGGGTCCGTCTGGCGCGGGTTGTATGTAGGTCAGGGCTGTGAGGACGTGATCTGTTAGCAGACGTATTCTTGGCAGGATAGGTCAAAGAGAACGCCCATGCATACTTGGCTAGATGAGCGAATGCAAGAAATATGAAATTTGAGCAAGGCACAGATTGGTCCTACGGGCGCAAAACATTGAAAAACAATTTCCACGCAGAACTTTTGTTATCCGAAGGATATTCTTAGGTATCAGGAAAGTGATTGGTGAAGGAAGGGGGATATGGATAGATGGAGGGAGGGAATCATGGAAAGTGCGCATGTGCATCCTGTTGCATCTCCTCCAGTCTCCTCCATCCTTCCTCCTCCCCTTGCAGCAGTCTCATCCTCCTCATGCTCTTCTTCCTCGTTTTTCTTTCCTTCCCTTCCATGTCCCGTCCCTCTCTATTTCCTACTCCCCCTTTCTCCCTCCCCCTCCTTCCTTCTGCTTCCTTTCCACCCTCATCCTTTCCATCCCTCGTCTCTCCTCCCTTCTCGCTCCTCCCCCCTCTCCCTCCTGCCTCCTTCTTTCTCTTTGCTCCTCTTCCCCTGTTCCTCCCACCTGCCTCCTCCCCCATCGTTCCTCCATGGAGTTCGAGGGTGCTTAGACGCCCACTTCGAGGCCATGAGTAGGACACGCCTTGGACGTGGTACCAAAATCCCAGTTCTCTTCGGTAAACTTCACGACGTGCGCTCAAGGGCTCGCAACCCCTGGAATTTGTTTTGCCGCGGGTTGTTCTTTGGGGATCCCGGGGCCGTTCAACGGCCACCAGACGCCGAAGTGGCCACCAAACGTGTATCGTGTTGTTTCTTTCGATGCCTGGGGGTCTGGGCCTGTCGAGGCGTGACTCCCCGAGGAAGTGCGATCGGCGGGCATTCGCAGACATCTCTATGACACTGCTGAGTCGTGACCGGGCGCTCCAGAGCACTTTCAGAAAGTTCCGGAGCGCTTTGGAACGACCCCGACGCGTGGGACACCCCCTGGACCCGCCAGCACTCGGAAGTTAAACAACTATTCAGGAGGCTTACGCCTTCCCCCCCGAGAATGAGAGAGACGGAGGACGAGCATGAACTGGACGGCGACGGCGATGAGAACAAGGAGGAAGGGAAGGATGATGATGAGGAGGAACAGGATGATGATGATGATGATGATGATGATGATGATGATGATGATGATGGTGGTGGTGGTGGTGGTGGTGGTGGTGGTGGTGGTGGTGGTGATGATGATGATGATGATGATGATGATGAGGAGGAGGAGGAGGAGGAGGAGGAGGAGGAGGAGAAGGAGATACAGCAATCTGTTGTCCGCACTCTGTCCACTATTGGGTGACAGTGCTCAGACGGGCGCGACTGCTAGTTTACCCGAACGGTCGGCCGGGAGTCGCCGCGAGCACCGACTGCAGCTAGCTCCCCGCTGCCCTGATGAGGACGAGGACGGCGGGAAGGCGCTGGCCCTCAGAGATCCACGAGTTGTTCCTGCCCGATTCCGTTCGCGTCCCGCGCTTGTCGTGCACGCGGGGGGCGTCGCGGTGGCGCCGCCGCCCTCAGGCGTCGTGGTGTCGGCGGCGGACGCGGACGGGCCGGGGGCGACTGGCCTGGACGGCTTCGTGGAGGTCTCCCCATGCCGCTGTTTGTTCCGGTCCGACATAGGCATCTATACACCACTATCGTGCCAGGCCAGAGCCATCCTGGGCCTTGGGATGGTGTATAGACCCTCCTGGCCGACGGTGGTGGTGTATAGATGCCTCCTGCGGATTCAGGGAGGGGAAGGAAGGGGGCCAGGAGCCAGCGAGCGGCCATGGCGTTGCCAGAGGGTGTGCCAACATGCCAGGGCTCCCGTCGGAGGCCGCAACGGCGTGCGGGTCGCCCCCTGGTGTGCAGGAGTCAAAAGATTAGATAACGAAAATGGAGTGTGGCGCGCGGGTACCGCCACACACGCCTCAACGGATCTGGTCAGTTAGTTTCGGTGGCCGACGCTGTCGTGCAACGAGGCCGTCCCCTACCAGCCAGCACGTCGGGCCACGAGGGGACCATGCTGACGGTGATGATGCTGCTGATGATGCTGCTGCTGCTGTTGCTGATGCAGATCATGATGATGCTGCTGCTGATGATGCTGATGATGGTGATGGTGATGGTGATGGTGATTTTGATGGTGATGGGGATGGTGGTGATGATAATGTCTAGGATAAGAACTATGTAAATGACGACGATGATGATAATAATGATGATGATGATGATGATGATGATGATGATGATGATGATGATGATGATGATGATGATGATGATGATGGTCATGATGATGACGGTGGTGATGATGCTGATGATGATGATGATGATTATGACGATGATGTTGCTGCTGATGATGATGACGATGATGCTGATGATGATAATAATGATACTGTCACTGCTACTGTCAAGGATGATGGTGATGCTGCTGAGGATGATGCTGCAGCTGCTGATAATGATGTCGGTGATGTTGCTGATGATGGAGGTGATGATGATGGTGATTGTGGTGGTGGTGATGATGATGCTTGTGAGGATGATGAGCTTAATGATGTTGATGGCGATGATGAGGATAACGCTGATGCTGATGATGATGGTGATGGTGATGGTGATGGTGATAATGGTGAGGATGAGGATGACGACTCTGGTGCTGCTGACGACGACGATGATAGTGATGATGATGATGATTATTGTGATGATGATGACGGTGACGATGCTGATGATGCTGATGATGCTGATGATGACGACGATGCTGATAATAATGCTAATGATGATGCTGATGCTGATGCTGATGCTGATGATGATGATGATGATGATGATGATGTTGATGATGCTGTCAACGCCGCTGATGATGAGGAGGATGAACATGATGATTGTTCTGATGGTGATGATGATGTTGCTGACGATGAGGCTGATGATGATGCTGCTGATGATGGTGTTGATGCTGCCAATGATGCCGACAGTGATGATGATGATGATGCTGATCATGATGATGATGATGATGACGATGATTATGCTGTTGTTGATGATAATGGTGAGGATGATGATGTTGCTGATTACGCTGTTGACTATGTTGCTGATGATGTTAATGATGTTGCTGATGTTAGTGTCGACTCTGATGATGATGCTGAGGCTGCTGATGATGCTTATGATGACGATGTTGATGCTGATGCTGCTGATGATGATGAGGATGATGCTGGTGATGATGATGTTGATGATGCTGACGCTGATGCTGATGATGATGATGAGGATGCTAATGCTGCTGATGATGATGCTGCTGATGCTGATGATGCTGATGCTGATGATGATGATGATGCTGATTCTGATGCTGCTGCTGGTAATGCTGATGATGAGGATGCTGATGGTGATGATGATGATGATGACGGTGGTCTGACGGTGATGATGATGTGGCGGGGGCGATGATGCTGATGAGGTTGATGAGATTGATGGAGATGGGGAGGCTGATAAGGGTGATGATGCTGTTGTTGATGACGATGTCGATTCTGATGATGTTAATGATGCTGATGCTGATGATGCTGATGAAGAGGATGCTGATGCTAATGATGGTGATGATGATGTTGATGCTGATGGTGATGGTGATGCTGATGATGATGGTGATACTGATGTAGTTGGTGTTGCGTTGCTGGTGTTGCTGTTGTTGTCGTTGTTGTTGTTGTTGTTGTCGTTGTCGTTGTCGTTGTCGTTGTCGTTGTCGTTGTGGTTGTAGTTGTTGTGGTTGTTGTTATTGCTGTTGCTGTTGCTGTTGTTGTTGTTGTTGCTGTTGCTGTTGCGGTTGTTGTGGTTGTTGTTGTTGTTGTTGTTGTTGTTGTTGTTGTTGTTGTTGTTGTTGTTGTGTCGTCGTCGTCGTCGTCGTCGTCGTCGCCGTCGTCGT